AATCTATCTATCCATACATGTACATACACACACTCATATTATATATGCACATACTGAATGAATAAATATGTATATATATATATATATATATATATATATATATATATATATCTAACTACTTGTTTCTTCTTTAGTGCTGTATGATCTAGTCACATGATCTACGGAAATTACTATTCATACCATCTATCTACATATATTATCTACATATATATATATATATACCTGCATATGTATGTACACACACACACACACAGAGGCAGACAGAGAGCGAGAGAGAGAGAGAGAGAGAGGGAGAGATAACTATGTGTATACATATACATATACATATATATATATATATATATAGATATGTGTGTATATGTACATAAAAGCATATACATATGTCTTTCTTATTCAACTCACCAGCAAGAGTTCAGGGTGAATGGTTCGGGTTCACGCATGCAGGGATGTACCTCTACTTCCCAGGTCCGGGCAAGCACTGCTTGGACATAATGTGTGGGGTTTGAGGTTTAGGGGTGCTTTGGGGTTCAGGGGCTTCGGTGCTTAGGAGCTTGTGGTTTAAGGGTTTAGGTGTATAGAATAGCTTTTAAAAAACTATTCCTTCAGGGTTCCTTCTAAGTATGCTACACTTGGGCCTAGGCATAAAGGCTCGAATATTAGCCATATGTGCATGTAATGCAAGAAGAGCAGCATAGTGTGTTAATACTTCAGCAGCGGCGTCAGTTGGTAAGCATGATCATTGAACGTTCATAGTTGCATCGCAGTAAAGTAGGAGTTTTGCCGGCACATATGTCGTCGCATTGTTCTCGAAGCCTACATCAAGCACTGTCTAAAGCCTTCCTCAACAGACAGACAACAAGCAGTCTAATTTGGTTACCATCGCCACAGAAACGTCGCTAAGGCTCAAAAGTTCATGCACGCTTGAACGATGCGTGGCACAGAATTTCACTCAACAGGGAACACTCCCACATTTCTACCGCTACTGCTACGTCGCAACAAACAAACTCCGAAATGCTTGTAAGACCATGAACCCTTACTTTCCCCGAACCCGGAACATGTAATGTGGAAGACTGAAAATATAATGACAATACAACTAGAACGCACACCACAACCCTATTCTACTTCGTAAGTCCCATAGACCTATAGTATGGCTCCCGTATCAAAATCTTTGCGAAGGAACTCGCATGGTACCCTTTAACATTAAAGGAGCTCAGTTCCAATTCCTAGGGCCCGTATGTAGGAGTTTCCGAAAATAGAGGACCAAAATACAGTACCCTGAATAGTAGGACTAAGGACCCCAAAATAAGGCACGCCTAATTGTGGGAAACTCTCATGTTATCCCAGCCTGCAGGGCAAGCTTACTCGACTTGCACTCGCGCAGCTGAGCCTGCGATTGATGTATCGAAGGTCTAGCGTTGGAATAGGATTTAGGGTTCAGGGTTTAGGATTTTGAGGATTTGGAGAGGGCTTAGGATTTAGGGCTCAAAGGCTTGGGGTGTTTACGGTTGCAGGGTTTCGGGGCCTGCGGCATCCAAGGTGTTGGGCTTCTTTCGAGCTTCAGGGCGTTAACGGCTCAGAGTTCGGCCGGGCTTTGGAGTTTAGCGATTTAAAGCTCAGTGATGGTTCAGAGATGTGGGACTTCAGGACTGTGGGGTCTTCGGGCCCAAAACCTGCTGGACAGAAGGACGGCGTGATGAGGAGCCCGACATATGTAGGTTTCAGAATGCGGGTAATTAAAAAACACCTAAACTCCTAACCTAACCCCTCACATTTCCACCCTCCGATAGAACGAAGCACCCCAATACCTACGAAATTGAGGAATATACAGATAAAAATTAGGTCGTCGGGTTTGTAGGCAGCTTTTTCGATTCTCTGTCTGGGACCATCCAATATCCGTATCCTCGATCCCAAGCCCCAACACCCTCTTAAAGGGTTGTGAGCTGCCCTAATCCTTCGGACCCGCACAGTGACCCGTGTACCCTTGTCGTCCCTTAGTAGCCCCATATTACAAGGCTCCCTGCAACCTAAAGCCCGCCGAAAGGCACCTTCTGGTACCCTGTACCGGCTCTGGAAGCCTCATGTAGGAGGGCCGGGGCTGACTTCGGGTTCAGGATTTAGGATTTAGTTCTATGAAAAGTTCCTCTACACTGTTGGTAAAACGGTCATTACCAATTCTGATATGTAGCTCTTTCGCGAAAAAGTGCATAATCAAGTTCCTTAAGCTATACATGGTTTCTGAATAGGTAGATCTATGATTCATTGAATATCCCGAAGTCAGGGGAGAAGGGAGTCTCTGGGGCGTTGGGGCTCTACTTGGAGCTTGGGGCTTCCATGGCGGAGGATTGGGAGGCTTGGGGTTTTCCTTTTCAGTGGGGTGTAGAGCAGCATAGCAGCCTGTGGGGGTATGTGCGACCTCCGACGCCAGATTCGCGAAGCTTCGCTAGTGTCGGCCCTCAACAGCCCGAAATTTAAGAAATCTTCAAACCTCAAGCTAGTTCTTCATACCCGTACCTTCAACATACCGAGCCACAGCCCCAACGCTCCGACAAAACCCCTAGCACAAGATCCTAAGGTCCAAGAACTGAAAGTTAAAAACAGAAACACCCCCCCTAAACCCAACACCGGAAAGCCCTCAAAGCTCCAAAAACCAAGGCCACCCTGCAACTGACGTCTGCGGCCCTAGAACCACCGAACCGTCGATCCCAAAACCCGGGAGATAAAAGAAAAAGGCCCTGAATCCCCCAACTGCCGGAATCCCTAGAGCCTACAAAGCCTAAGCCCTAAACCCCTAAACCCTAAAGCCTTAATCCACTGAGCAACCCAACTCTGATTCCTAACGCTGCCCGAGCCCCTAAACTCCGAAACTCCCCCCAAAGCCCTAAACCCTCTTTACCTTCAACCCTAAACCCCCCGCTAACCCTTTCCTAACCCTAAACTCCCAAGCCCCAAAGCCCTAAACCGAACTGGTTTTCATAGAAAAAAACATAACTTCAACCCTGAACACCCCCTAAACCTAAGCCCCAAAGCCCGAAATGCTGGGCCCCAGGGCAGAGGCATCTGGTCCCGAGGAGCTCCCTGAGAGGCCTCAGCCGAAGAGCTTCCCCAGGTGCCGATTTTAAGAGGTTTGTTTTTTGAGCACCTTTTTCCATCCGCCTAAGTCTTAGGTATCCGAAGGGCTTAGGGCTTAGAGTTTAGGGTTTAGAGCTTAGGGCTTAAGGGCTTGGAGCTTCGGGCTTAGGGTTTAAGGCTTGGGGCATAGGGCTTAGAGTTTAGGGTTCAGGGCTTATAGGGCTTAGGGTTTAGGGCTTAGGGGATAGCGTTTAGGGCTTAGAGTTTGGGGTTTTGGGTTATTCAAAGTTAGGGCTCCATGTTAAGCATGTGCAGTAGGCGAAATACCAGCAGAGCTTCGCCGGATGTCTGGTGATTCTTCGTCGGGGCCGCGGGCACAAGGCTGTAGGTTCTGCTACTTTGGGTTTAGGGCATAGAGAGCCGAGCCGAAGCCTTGAACTCCCAACTCAGAAACCCAGCGGTAAGGCTTGTCACAGTCTTCAAATCCTGGAGCCCCAACCGTGAGAACCCTGATCCCAAGTCAACCCCCCCCCCCCCCCCCCGAATCCAGGGCCGAGGACCCCCATTCTTTCCCGGTAGCAGAGGGGGTGGCGGCAGACTGTCTACAGCACTGAAGATCGAACCAACTTGAGCCGAAATATGAGGAGACGTCCTGGGGCTTTTGGGTTTTAGGGAGGGTTCGCGTGTGGGGTTTAGAGAATATGAGGGCTCAGGGGTTAGGTTTTGGTTTAGGGGGTATAAGGGTAGGTTTAAGGATTCTTCGCAAGTTAGTTGCGCAGGCATCCCACGAGGGCCCCACGCAACAAGAACAACACATGAACATGGATACTACCCGGGAACCTAAACCCTAAATCTACACTCTGAACCTCAACCCTAAGCCCTGCATAGACACAAAATAGACCAAAACCCACAACGTTGAAGCCTTTATCAGCTTTCCTCCGACAGCTAGCATCTGGTTGGGGCTGACCGGAAGTCTTAGGCCCTCCGCCCGAAGCTCATGTAGGACCTGAGGATAGATAGACAGATAGATAGAAAGGCAGGTGGATAGATATAAACACATAATTGCCTGATGTGTCAAGGTAACATACGACATGCTATAGGGTGATGCGATATGATATGAAGTGACAGAATAGAAAAAGACTAGAAACGTTTATGCTATGATATGTTACTATATGATAGCATTTAACAGAACTTAGATTAACATGCAATGGGATCGAATGGAACAGAACAAAACTGGAAGAGAAGATACCCTAACCTAATAGAATTAGGTCAGGCACTAACCAATCAATAAAACAATCGATGAAGCAAATTACTAACTATGTATAGTGAATGGATTATCTGGCTAATTGCTTAGATCAGTAATTAGCCAACAACTAAAAAAGCGAGCTGGTCAACAAGTTAACTAAATGATGAGCTAACTAATTAGTCTTTAGTTAAACAGGTTTGAGGGTTTAAACCCTAAATAGCCGTGAGGATTCAAGGGTGTTGGGATCGAGGGATTCTGTTTACAGTGCAGTGGCTTGGAAGTTGGATTCCAATCCAACAATCTGTGAGATAGTATCTACTTTGGCCTTAATGTAGTCCCTGTATCGGTACTTCAGGGCCAATGTACCTACTATGTGGCCACATGGACCCTTACGGAAATTTCAACTGAAAGCTATCCAACCTTTGGGCCTGCGAAGCCTTTTGAAACCAAGTGGTCTCCGCGCGCTCGCAACACATTGAGGCCGAGCATGCTTGTGCTGAAGGTCTGAAGACATGCGTATTTATATATGATGTAATGGCCTGACCACCAGTGCAAGTACATGTTTGTTTCCCTGTAAGAAAAAGACACTGCCAGTTTTCCTTGGGCATGACAATGACTGCAGTCGGATAGTAGTACACATAGAATCCTATTGGATGCTCTTACTAGATATTTGTTGCTTTTGGCTTCAGAGAGAGTCGTATGGCGACCGCTCCACGTAAGGCCACTTCTCGCTAGTCTTGCTGAACTTCTCGGCATCCTCGATGATGACACCTCCGACGGCAAAGAGCTGGAAAATCTAACACATCCTTGGGGACCCAGCGGCCAACGAATTCCGAAACGGTTTCCGGTTCACAGCCCATGTGATGCTCTAGGTTGGCCTTTTACAGCCCAGGAACAGCATTTGTGATTCAGATCCTCCTGAGGCCAACACAAGACAATATCAAATGCCCCGAAGACCTACCTAGGTTTTGTTGTCATTCCAAGGTCTCGGCCCCGTAAGCCTCAGGGATCATTTGGTCCTTCAGCGTAGGGATGGGTTCGTTGGAGGTCAATATTATGCTATACTATATTGTCATAATAAATTATGCGATATGGTTTTATGCAGCAGGGTCTAGATTCCGGATGCCTTGACCACGTACGCAATCCGTCTATCTATCTACCCATCCATCTATCTACCTGTATGTGGATGGCTGTAATGTTGGAATCCCTAAACATCGGGCTTGGTTGGGTTGAGGGTTTAGCAGATGGTGGATGTATAGTAGATGGTAATATTTGGAATCAATAAGCAACCCTCATGGCCTCCATCTCCACTGACCAATCTTGTCACACACACACAGGGAAGCACAACGAGATCAAAGAAGTCTCCCCACGATGCAGCTTCCCAGACCCTCCAATAGCCTTCAATATCTTCAACCCCTAACCGCTGCGCTGTCTGCGCGCCTCCTTGCGCCTGGAACTTCGCCGTCAGCGAACGCTTTGCTTTCTCAGCACCGCCGCCCGACTGAGCGAAGGTTGCGGAGACCACCTGTGTTGTTCATGCAGGGCCTTGGGGTTTTGAGTATTTAAACTTAGGGTTTCCCAGAGCATTAGGATGTGTCTTTGACATCAGGGATGTAGGATTGGAGGTCAAAGATTTGAGGCTTTGGGGTTTGGGGTTTAGGATTTCGGGGTTATGTCCAGGGTTTAAGCGTTTATGGGTCTAGGGTTCAGGTTGCGCTTGGCCAGGCAAACACACATTGAAAGCCAACCGCAATGCTTTTGTGTTCCTGCTCTGTGCTGCTGAGCTTGATACAATCTGACGACCGTGGTGCTGATTAAAGAAGATGATCACAAGGCTGATAATGTTTTTCTGACAAAAATTGCGTCGGGTTGTTGCAGTGCGCTTTCAGGCAGTGTTGTTGCTGCTGGGAGCAATTCTAAGTTCCTGCTTTGTGAAGGTTCTCGTTTCTAGCTACAAAATCAAATGCAGGCCATTGCGGATTGAGGCCTTCGCGCTTCAATGATTCCCGAAACCCGGCATTCAAACCTGCAAGCTCTGCGGCTTGGTCCCTTGTACTCTGCGCATGATTTGAAACCAAGCGAGCAATGAACAACAGCCACCACACCAATCTGGGCGACCGTCAAAATTAGGGTCCCTTATTGTGTCCTTAGTAAAATACGGCACCTAATGTTCAAGGTACCAAAAAGGGACCATCATTTTGACAACCACCCATGTGAAACCTGCAACCCTGCAACAGTTCAGGAGGTTGCTCTCTTCTTGTAGTGTTGCAGTGACCGTTCGCAGAGTTGGCTCGAACCAGACAAGCACAGACTTTGAGGACTAGAGCTTCTGAAGCTTAGCGCTGGGCTTTAGGCTTTGGGGCCTTTCGGGCTTACGCCTGAAGGTGTATGATAGTTGCCAGGGGCCAGGGCCTTTCGGGCTTATGGGTATATAGCTTCTGTTTAAGCTTTTTTTCTGAAGGTTTGGGGCTTCACGAGCTTTGGAGTCCTCCTCCGCCTCGTTCCTGGCCGTCAGAGTCGAAAAGAGAGCCCTCCAAGACCCGAATCCCTAAGCCCCTTAAAGCCCTTAAATCCCTAAAACCCTAACCCTGAACATCAAAAATCCAAAATCCCTTAAAGCCTTGAAGCTCTTAAATAGGGGACCCTAGCCTTGTACGCTGAGTAGTAGGATCCTTACCATGAGGACCCCAAAGTAAGGGAAATATTTTCGGAAACTCCCATAAACCCTAGACCCAATAGGAACCCTTATAGGAACCCTTATAGATCCCTGTAAAGGTACCCCCTAATTTTCGGAAAATCCCACATCTGAGTCCAGTGCTGGTCGATGCTCCGAACCTCCTGGAAGGAAGTGGCTCTCCTGGGCACCGTTGCATCATCTTTCGGGACCCTACTTGGGGTTTAGGGTTTAGGGCTTGGGTTTAGGGTTCAGGGGTTTAGGGTTCAAGGGTTTAGGGGTTTAGGGTTCTTCAGTTTTTGTAAGTTACGAGCTAGTAGTCCTGAGGGGCGTCGGCTTCAGACGGCTAATCTAGCCGAACCCTTGAACGCTTGAGGGTTTCGATATCGGACAGTAAGCAAGGCTTTATTGGTTTGCTGATTCGGGTGCTTCAGAAAACCCTCCGAACTGAGTCAGGGGCCGCTGACTTCGAAAGCGCGGCCCGAGTACCCAAACCGAAGAGTGGGATGCGAATCATCAAGGATAGAGCCTCGCCGCCCTGTGGTGCACGTGCAACCGTACTAGTCTTGTTGATGGCAAGGTCCTTCCTCGATATGGGGTGGGCATGGCCAAATCCTAAACTCTCGGCCGCAGTGAATAGGGACAGCCCGAAAGACAACAGCCTCCTAAACCCCCCCCCTCCAATAAAGAGCGGCCATGCCAAAGGTCTCTAGGGTCGTTCATAAGAATTCGTCAAGGGGTTTGGGGGCATGTTGTTCTAGATTTATATAGGGGCCATCAGGAAGGGCATGAACACAGCCAAGTTTCGTAGAAGTTCAAGAGATCTGCCTGGCTTGGCACAGGCTTGGAACGGGGGTTCTTGAGGGTTTAAGCGCTCCATGATCGCAATGTTTCTTTCTGTTCGGGATTCATTGCGTACAGGCTTCCTTTGGCAAACGGCTGTAAATCTAAGGACTTATGACTGATCTGGAGTCAAATGATGCAGGCATAGGGCAGACCACGTTACATGCTTTATAGGTTTTAGGGTTGGGTTAGGAATTGCCCGGCTTTAGGGTTGTCCCGGTGGCCCACGGCTCAGCTGTCAACTGCGCTTCGTACAAGACATCCACAAAAACCACTCACATGTCAGCTTTTCCACTTGCTGATGTAGTTTCAACAGAAGTGAAGCTACTTCTGCGCAGCCCCACTTCCAAGGTTCTCGCAAGAGAGATTCAGAACAGAAGCGGCCCAGGCAAGTGTCAGTTCGGAAAAGCACGCACAAGAAGCAAAATGAATTCTGTGTTCATCACATCCCCTCCCCAACCTACATTGAGCACAAGCCAGTTAGCATCCCAACATCAGGTTGGAACAGAAACAGTTTCTGTGGCCCTGCCCCGTGCATTTAGAGGGTGCCACTACATGCAATCTGTTTTGCAGGCCCCTACCCGGTAGATGTTGAGGGCGCGGCTACATGCATGTGTGGGGATCGGAGCTTTCAGGAGGGCTGCGAGGGCTGGCTATCAGAGACCAAAAGAAGCTGCATCAAACATGTTTTTGAACGAGATCTGGTGTAAGAAATGTGGAGGTGAATTTGCACATCGCTCCTAAACGTATGGCGGACAGAACTATTGCCTACAGGGCTCCCTGCCTTTAGATTTGCGAGGGCGAACTGGAAACGTACTTTTTTTGACACCCTCCTGGCCTGCAATGACCGAACAATTCGTTCAAACAAGCTTGTAAGCATTACCATATACACACGAGCTGTCCGAACCGTCCGACGAGCCGAACCGAAATCTAGCCGCTAGCCGCTGGGGACTCCTTTCAGGTTCGTCTCCTGGAAACCGATCCGAACCGAAGCATTGCTGACAACGGCGATCTTGAATAGAGCTTGACTGCGAAGTATGCCTATGCATAAACCGTGAACAGAACCCCAGAATCCCATTGTCGCAGCCGCACGCAGATTAAACCCTGTTTGGACCGGGGTGCGGTGCTCGCATCAGTGGGAACCCTGTCTGAGGTCATCACGGAGGAAAGCTTCCCTTCAGCAGGAGCCAGGTGGTCAGAGTCACTCCGATGGCCCACAAATCCATGCTAAGCGATGGTGCTTCCTTGGAACGCAGTCACAGCAAGGTTGTCATTGGACCTCGCGACATGGTGCGAACGGGCTAAGCTCACGGCGCCAGCCACAGCTTCAGGCGGCCAGAACCGAATAGTACCAGCCTTAAGATAGAAAACTTAAGCAGCACATACTGCGCCCCTGTATGTCGCACAACCCGTTGCCCACGCAACACGTGGGACACTTCATATGCGTTGCTGCTACGTGCTGTGGGACCTGAGGACACTCCCCTGCAACTCAAAGTGATGGAGCAATTGTTGATGGAGTGCGAGCGCAGCTTGGACAGCTCAAGAAATGGCTTTGGCAAGTCCACCTGCGGCAATCAGACTTCCGCTATACTTCTACTTCGTTCACGCACGCCCAGTTGCGCCGCTTTGCTTGCATTGTTGTTGTTGTGTCTTTGCATCCAGAAGTGGCGCAATCTACCACATCCACTGCCGCAGTGCAGGCATGCCACGCGCCAGCACGCCAGGACGCACACATGAAATTCACACCCCATGTGGACATGCGAAAGAACATACCAGCACCACCAAACTATTGCCTAACGTGGACGATCTCCGATAAATGAAGGTGCTTGGAGTTGTACTGGAACTGAGGCCACAACTGTTGCGACAATGCCCGCTTGTGCTTGTGCAAGGGAGCAGCAGCAGCCGAAGTCGCTAACAAGGATCCTGACGCGTCGCAGGCGGGCATGTCAAAGACACCGGACAACATCCAGAGCAAGTCACGCGGAGCCAATCAGCCCACATTAACGACGGAAGCTCAGCTTTGATGAGGATGTTTTCTGGCTTCAAGTCGCGGTGGATTATCTTTGCCCTTGGCGAAACCAAATATGCAATATGCATCTCCTGTTGGCGACTTGCAGTTGTCTGGGCCCATGGATGTGCACGAACGCTTGCAAGACTTGCCGCACCTGAGTTGTGGGAGCACCGTAACCCCGTCGCGTGCAACATGAAAAACTGAAAAAGTATGACCGATCTTTCAATGCAACCAGTTGACGAGAGGAGCTGCAACTTGCTCGCTGAACGTGCGAGATTGCAGCGTCCCTGCACCGGCAAACTACTGGTTACGGCCGTGCTTGCGAGACAATTCTAAGCTGTAGCTGCCTTCGCACCTCTCCATAAAGATGAACGCCTAAGCCCAGGCCCAAGGTCGGACATGATAAATTCCACACGAGCCCGTCACCCAAGAGCTTGGCTTCGTCTCCAAAGACTGCGTGACCATGACCATGGTATTTGATGACGCCCATGCAGCAGCAAAGTGATTGCAGACATGAGCTCAAGGAAACATCGGTCGAAGCATTGGATACATGAGTGGCCTCTGAAATCACTAATTAGGCGTTTGAGAGCCCAGATTTCGTTCCTTGCCACTGATTGGCAACCACTGGGAAGCATGTGAAGCGAGATTCATTACACAGCTGGCATAGGTGCGAAGCGGCGAACAGAGATCTGCGGCTGTCTTCTTCACGACCATCTGGGTAGTCACCTGCGTCAAATCTACAGATGGCTTTAAGTTTTGTGATGACAACAACAAGGCAGCACAGGCATAGGAATTGCGCCTGATACACCTCACCGAACCGCCCGCGACCAGTGACTCGGCGAACTAGCGGTGCCCTCGCCTGCGTGATTGAACCACTGCGCTTGGGAAAGCGCCAGTAAGGCAAACTTGCAAGTAGTTCCGTGGCTAACACAACTGGACAAAGGCCTCGGCCAAAAGCGTTTGGGCATCCACAGTTTCTACACTCCCGCATGAGCTCGCCGATGCCCTTGGTTTGCGAGCATGTTGCAAGTGGCTGTGTGCCTGGCATGCGTCTGTGGCTTGGGTGAATTATGATGGCATGCTGAAGTGGCACGAGAGGCTGTGGGAAACAAGTTCGGAACTTTTCTACATAACAGCCAGGGTCCAACTGCTTCAGGCGCAGGGGCCATCCAATTCTTGGGGGACTCCTGTTATGAAATTAGTTTGGGGCAGTGGTTATTGGAAAGCCTGTGTGCTTCGGAAGCTGTCTACAAGCTGCAGCATGGCCCCGGGAAAACTGTTTTTCGGCTGTGGAGCCGGAGGGGTAGCTGCGACTGATGAGGCCATGCCCGCCATGCCAAACGACAAGCCCAATGGCTCCATGGATCCTTTGGGTTTGGGACGCCAATCCCTAGGCAAGCATATCTGCACAGAACCGTGGCAATGTCTCTATGCGCAGGTATCTAATGAAATACAGAAATGCAGTTCGTATATCTCGCAAACCCCGAGAGTATTCATCCAGAACCGGCCCTGATTCGCAATGAAGGGCTTACTGCTCATTCCTGACAGTTTACTTGCAGGAAGTTGGTGCTCTGGTGGTCCAGTTCTCCACCCGGAGCACCAAGCTCAAGCCGAAGGCTCCGGTCTTGCTTTCACACCACAGAGTGCACGCAACGAGCCAAGCTTTAAAGGTAGCGTGACGCACCACCCCGCAGCTGGGAATTGGGCCATTCGGTCAACAAAATGCACTTGGACAGCCAGCCAGGCACCTGAGCGTGAGCTCGCCCAACTCCGGCGTCTTCAGGCCCTCCAAATCTGAAAGCGCGAATCAGTTCAAGACGCAGTAGGAGAGATGGTGAAGTACTCTGGATTCACCTGACACGATGCTCGAAGGGCACAGACTTCAAACTCACCACTTGCTGACATGTCAGATACCCCTTGACCAACCTCACGTAGTGGTAGGTCGATGGAACTGCACCAACGGCTGCAGTTCCACCAACAATCCGCAACGAACTAAAAGCCACCTGCAGAAAGTCATGCGATGAGACCGCGAACCTGATCCTCCGGTGCAAGCAGCACATCATCGGGAGCAAAGTGTTCGCTCCTGAAGTCGCTGAATTGTGCCTCCCCTTCTTGCTTACTTTCCATGCCTCCGCAGCACTGAGGGAGGCTCTCTGCGCAATTGTCATACAAGAGCCTCGACACAATCAGAAGCAGCACCGCGCACAACGTCGCAGAACCACAACATGAAATCCTGCCACAGTGAATCTCTAACGCTGTTCGAAGGCAGTGCGTGAAAATCACGCAGGCAGAAGCGAAGGCTCTACAAAAGCTTAGGTCATGACTTGGTTTTCAAGACACCCTCACCCTTCGCGAAGCAAGCGATGGCATCCTGCATTGGCTCCGTTTGTCACACTGCTCACGCCCTTTTGTGAGATGGCAAGCATGGTTGTCGAAATCGGGTTTCGGGTTCGGGGTTTCGGGTTTAGGCACCTCTGACAACCTCCCAAGCCTGACCAACACACAAGAATAGACAATGGATCTCAGAACGTTATGGAAATGTAATTAACATACATCCCAGCCCTTAAATGCCAAGACGCTAAAGCTGAAACCCCGAAACTCCAAACGACAAAACCAGCCTAACCAGTGTTCTAGGGCGGCTAAAACAATTATTCTTTGGTTTGAGGTTCAAGACTGCAGGGTTTCAGGTTTCACAACACCCAATCACAGGTCCTATTTAGGGGGTTTCGGGTTTACAGGTGCGAACTGCGTGAAGTGTGGATTCGGGCCTGAATAAAAGCATTTCAAAACTAACGCACCTCCAAACTATGCGGTTGAAAGAACTGCCACTAAAGAGGACATGAAAGGTCAAAACACAAGGGCGGACGCTGGTTTTGCAAGCTTACAGTGTCCTTAAAAATATCAAGATCTACACCGCGAAGATACCAAAAAAGAAACTTACACCGTCCTTAAAAATCTCAAAGTCTACACTACGAAAATACTAAAAAGACGTGGGTGCGCGTTGGCGTTTAAAGCTTACAGTGTCCGTAAACATATCAAAGTCTGAACTACGCAGATACCAAAACACCTGGGTGGACGCTGGCGTTACAAACTGGGATGCTAACTGGCTCGTGTTCAATGTAGGTGGGGGAAGGGATGAGATGAACACAGAATCCATTTTGCTTCTTGCGCGTGCTTTTCCGAACTGACACTTTCCTGGGCCGCTTCTGTTCTGAATCTCTCTTGCGAGAACCTTAGAAGTGGGGATGCGCAGAAGTAGCTCCACTTCTGTTGAAACTACATCAGCAAGTGGAAAAGCTGACATGGGAGTGGCTTTCGTGGATGTCTAGTCGTACACCTCGTCCCAACACCCTCGCGGAAATCTTGAGTGATCCCTCATTGATACATATGTCGCCGGTCCGAAAGCCGAATTGCCCGGAAAAGACAGGGACGGACGACACTCAGGTTTACAAGTTAAAATTCTACATTGCATTGCAGGTCTTCTACTTGAGAGGTCGAGGGTCTGACGAGGTAGGCCAGAATTAGGGCTACCAGTGGAGATACCTTGGAGAACCGCAAATATGACCTGCTCGTCAGCCGCCTTAACCTCAAGCAGTGCTGCGAAGTGGCCGGCATTGTGGTCCGGAGGCTTAGCTACGAGAAAAATTCTTCCATCTTTAAATTACTCGCCGCTAGCTGGAGTCCAGGAGACTTGACAGAATGCCATCTTGCACGGCAGAATCCGACATCAGGCAACTGCCGAATGTTTTGCGTTCCTGCAACATGAATCTGTTGGGACTGTCAGTTTTGAATCCTGGACCCTAGACTCCCAAGCCCTGTTCCTTATAAGCCCTTAAGCCTGTGCACAAGACCAATGTTGAACATCTAAAGGTGCCCTGTGAAACCGCACGGAGCCACCAAACCTTGTGAACCTAGATGCATCCTCCCAACGCATTCTAAAGCCCTTATATCAAAGCTCTTTCCAGATTCCTGTAAAACTCTGAAACAAAACATAAACTCCTATAGCTCTGATAAACCCGTCCAAGAATGCATGTGGCTCGACAACAAACTGTTTATAACACCACCCTCACGCCCTAAACCCTTGTCTTGGGATCGCCCTTCGTCCCAACCGGCCTTGGTGACAGAAGTCACCTGAGCGAAGTCGCGCGGGTTTAGGACTCAAGTTTTCGGGTGTGGAAATGCTTTAGGGATTGTGGCCCAAGGTTTAGGATTTAGCGCTCGGCATTTTGGGCCAATGTAGCTGCTGTGTTGTGGAAGTGTTGATGATTTGAACCGGCAACCTTCCTCTTCGAGGATTACGTCGAGGAAACCATACTCAAGAACAGAACAAGCGTATATTTTATGGTGAAGGTCGTGCTTCGTCTCAAATGTCAAAGCGTCAACCTAAAAACCCTTCACTTTCAGCTCTGACTTCAAATGCTTGCCCAAGGCACCAGGTTTGCTTCCTCGGTGCGGCGTCGCCAGGCGAACTGAAAGGAACGGATCTCCTGTAACACATGCACGGAGAGCCCAACACCCCGTCGATAGTTAGCCTGGACTGCCGAACAGGGTTTGGGGTTTAAGCGGGGTTGGGTTCTATTGTAGGATCCTGCGTCATGACTTCGCCCACAACCCACGGAAGCCAAAGTTTGAACTTCCTGTGTGGTAATTAAAGGACCCATCAACGTTAAAGGTCAACTGGTGTGAGAATAATGAATTAAGACGACCATTAATTTTGGATTGGAAACACTTCCACTTGAAATCGTTTAAGGACCGGTTTACGCTTTCGGCGTCTTCGTGTTAAGAAGTGCGAGGATTTGCGGATTTCAGGGTTGAGGCCGGGGGTTGGCCCTCGCAACGGCAATGTGACAACCATCTTTGTGGACCCCACGGCCAAGAAGTCTCACCTGTGCTTCCGCCTCTAACAGGACGACCAGTTGCTGCCACGGCTCTTATTGCTCCTATTCTTGCAGTTGCGGCTGCTAGCCGGAGCAAAGAGATCAGAGAAGTCCCAGGTCAAGCCGGCAGTCACACGTCCGAAGGCTGCACTCACGGATGTCTCCATAAGTGCGGCGAAGTGACTCGTAAGACTGCATTAGTTTTGGGCTGGGGTTTAGGCAACACCGCAAAGCCTCAACCCTAAACCCCTAAACCCTAAAGCATCTAGGGCTCCGTGTACTCGGTGTGGGATGGCACCGACATGAAACCCCCAAAATCTAATTTTTTGTCAGCCCTCAACTCTTGACTCTGAGCTTCAACTCCCAAGCAAAACCATAACACCTGCTACAACCCCAGAACAACCATACAAGCTGTGCAGACATCCTGGAAGCCCCTTCGAAAAATATTACGAGCAATGTATAGCAAAGACCCAAACGTCTGAACCTATGAGATCGGGTATCCCGCCTCCCACCAGCGCACCGCTTCCTCACCTGCTGTGACCAAGTGTTACAGTCTCAACATTTGACAGGATTAGACGGGTACCACGGAGGTGTTAGGAATGATGTCCGAGGGTGCTGGGTTTTAGGGACTTGGGGTTTACAGGGTCGAGCGGTGTGGAAGCCATGGTATGGTGCGAAATGGAGCTAAAGTCTTTTGGGTTTAGGGCCATATCCGAGTGTATCTCTATATCGAATATACACGAGGGCATGTTATTATTATACTACTTATTAGAACTGTATTCCTTGTGGCAGCTGTTTCGCGTCTTCGGGTCTGGTGTTTCGGTGCCGTGGGCTGTGGGTGTTCGTATCATTGCAAGCCCCCTGCGGGAAGCATGGGCCGTTTGTCGAGGTTTAGGGTAGGGATGGCAAACATCGAACCCCACACTGTCTGATGAAAACCCCAACCCAAAAGACGACGCTTGATGAGGCCATAAGCCCTAACCCTTAACCCCCCACACCCTAAACTTCAACTCAAAACTGAAGTCAAAGCCCTAGCCCTGAACCCCGCACGCCAGACCCCGAGCCGAAGCCCAATTTGTTGAAAGGCCTTGAGCCCAAACCGTAAACCCCACACGCGAAACCTGACATTCGGCTTAGGGATTATGTAGGGTTTACGGAAGTCCTCATCCGTGGAACGTTGAAGCCCCCAAACCATCACTTCGAGAATCAAGCAGTTTCTTGAAAGGTTCCGGGCTTAATCTACCGGTTTAGGGTTCTGGGCTTTACGGATTGGGGTAGCAGTGGCTTGAAGAATTAGACTCGGGCTTCGGGGATCAACTAGATGACCTGGGCGGATGATATCCTGAACCCAAACCCTGAACACTGAATCCGAATCCCTAAACCCTAATTAAGCCTTGAATCCTGAACCCCCAACCCTAAACCCTGAATCCGAAACCCTAGCTCCTAATCCCCAAAACCCAAATTTAAACCCTAACCCCTACACACCCTACTACGGATTCTGCACTCCTATAACCCACCCTCCTGAACACTAGGCCCTAAGCCTTTTCGGGCTAGAGGAATGCCTCGGAGATGAGTTCAGGGTTTGCCATTGAGGTTTCAGGGTTTTGGGGTTCAGCGGTTAGGGTTTTGGGACTTGGGGCTTTGGGTTCAGTGTTTATGGCTGAGGGTTTAGACACAACCCCCACAATAAGCTTGATAAAGCCGGACCCTGCTTAACCACCGCATGGGAGTTTTAGGAACCCTTGTACAACGCAAGTTTTATAAGGGACCTGTAAATTGTAAATGGCCTATAAGAACCCTACAAAACCCAAAACAACACGATATTTGTTGTGAGATCGCCGGCCAGGCGTCTTTGGGCTGTCTTCGCCTTCCAGATCAGCCAACCTATCTCGATCAAGGAATGTTCCCTCCTAAAAAAATTGATATGATTGGACGAAATGTTGACCCTAAATGCTAAACCCGCAGGCCTAAACCCCACACCCGAAATCCTAAGCCCCACTCCGAAAGCTGGATTTCTGGATGTTCGAGGTCTATTCCCCAAAAACCCTCGCCTTAAATCCCTAAATCCTCAACCCTAAAACCCTAAACCCCCAAATCTCACAAGAAGATCGAGGTCAACAGGCCCACGGTCAGAAAGTACGTCTCTGCTTGAGCCCCTCCACCTTCTCGCCAGCTTTCCCACCTGAGGGCTTGGCACGCTTTGCTCTACCTCGAACCCCCACACCTTCGACCATAAACCATAAGCCCTAAAGACCCAACACAGTGAAGCTGCAACTGAAAGTCAACTCCGAAACCGTGTATCCCACGTATCTAACATGACTTCCTAAACCCTTGTTTGAAGCATCTCCCACCAGACAGGCCGAGCATTCTCCAAGCTGCTGACGACAACTGGCTGTTCTGCACCTTTTGTCGCTGTTTCTGGCTGAAGTCCCAGGGTCTCCGAGTGGGCTTTCGGGGTCTAGTTCGCGTTGTGGCTCCCAGCACAAGCCGCGTTTATCTACATGTGTATGGATGAAAGTACACTCGTTTGTACATGTCCGGATGCACAGATACATCTATGCACATGGTGACATGGCACCTCTTCTCCATTTGTGTCCCGAAGCAAGAAGTTCCGATGTAGACATGTACAGGAAACATACACTCATACACAGACTGTATACAAATGCACCGCTAACATTACGCATACACCCCAGGACCACGGCAATGAACCCTGAACCCTATACCGTACCCAGAATACACCCTTGCAAGCCCATCGTAACGGCACCCCCCAAAATCCCATAATGCCCTCAACCCTAAAGCTCATTCCATAACCGCAAACCCTCAACGACCCTGCCTTGCCAAAAGCGCCTTCATGGTGACTCAACCCTGAACCCCAAGCCCCGAAACGAGGCCTAAAGATCGTCTATCCTTCCTGGACCCCAAATAACAAACAAACCTGTTTAAGTAGTATCAATACAAGGAAGTTATGGTAAGGATTCCTGAACTGGCAGGTTTTATCGGGTTCAGGTTAGCCCTGAGACCTACAGCCCTGAGACCTTCAAACCCCAAGTGCTAAACATGAAAAAACGGCAAAACCCGAACTCTAAACGACTCTGCTTTGCCAAGTTTGCCTTGGGGTTTCTTGCAAGCACCCTAAAAGTCCTAACACCCCGAACCTAAACCCCAAGTCCCGAAACCGCGAACCCCTGAAACGCCCTCGGGCTCTTGGAGGCAAGCCCCAAAACCCGGCAGCTCCCAAAAACCCCCAAACACCCCTAAACCTTAAAAGGGCTAAACCCCCAACCCTAAACCCTTTAAAGCCCTAAGTAAAGCAAAAAAAATCCCTAAACCCTTAAGGGAACCCTTAAAGGAACCCCTTTAACCCAAATCCCCTTTGGAGCGCCTTGGGGTTCTTGGAGGCAAACGTCGCACACTCGCGCTGCAAAGCCTCCAAGCCCTGGTGCGCGGCTGCTTCTGCGATCGCCGCGAAGGACTCTTCGGAAATCATGTCTCCTTGAGTTTAGGGCCCTTGGGTTTTAGGGATTTAGGTCTTAAGATTTAGGGTCTAGGGTTTAGAGTTTAGGGCGCTTGGGTTTAAGGGCTAAGGCTTTACAGTTTAGGGTTTAGCGTTTAGGACCATTGTTTTTTTTTATTATGGCCCTTTTCTGCTGCATGAGCGTCCGAAAATCCAACTTTGGAGGAGCCTGTGGCTCGCTACCTGGTAGACATATGAACCTCACAAGGACCCTTGGGTTTAGGGTTTAAGGTTTAGGGGAAAGCATGTCTCCTCAGTTCCAAAGCATCCGATGTGCCCAGAAAACTCAGTGCTTGATTCGTGCTACCGTGCTGCTATCCCAGTCCCCAAGTTTAGGGTTGTCTAGTCCACAAGACCCAAAATACCAAGGAAGTACATACAACACCGGGTTTTATTAGTCCCAGGGGATCCGAAGTATTATGGATTGAAGCACGGCCCTATTTGGTCCCACGTGATGTTGCGGTGCGGGTTGGGACACCTTAAGTTGCTGTCAGGTTTAGGAGGTTCAAATGCCATCCTTCCAAGGGCGCTTACCCAAAACCGTACTTCAACAAGTTGTAACACAAATCCTAAAACCTCGTACATAAGATTCTCGTAATCCCAGGTCTCGGAGGAGATCAGACAGTATGTGCACAGTATTGGCCACCTCCCAGCGGTGCGCCAAAGAAAGCGCTGCCAACACGGCTTCGTAGTCCTTAGAAGACCAACACCGGCAAAGATAGATTAGGGTATAGGGTTACGAACGACACCGAAAAACAAAAACAATCAAACTCCGCCCAAATTTGAAACCCCAAAGACGTCGTGACAAGACTCCGCTGCAAGCTTTTACTATGTGCTAGACCTCGTGCGACTTCAAGGAACACTGTCTAAAGCTTTTAACGTCTCAGTGAGAACTACTGCTACGAACATTTACCCCAAACCCTAACCATTAAGCCTAAACCCTAACCCTTAACCCTAAACCCTAACCATGAACCCTGAACCCTAACCATAAACCCTCAATCCTAAGCCCTCCGCAAAATGACGGCTACTCGACAACCAGGGAGCAGGATGGCTCCGAGTGGCACTCATGTACAAGATATCCTTGGTGGGAAGCTTGGGCCATTTCGGTTTCGTGGCCTGCACCCTAACACCCTAACCCTAAGGCTCAAAGTAGTATAGCCCAGCCTTATACTAGCATGGTCCTTGTGCCGGAAAGTATGCGAGCCTGGAACCTCAGGGTAATGGTCCAAGTGACCAAATAGCCACAGGACCTCCTGTGCGGTACCTCGTCGGCCTATCTATCTAGCATTGGAATACTGACAGCGCGAAGGATACACCCTCAATCCCCACCACCTCCAGCACCCGAGCGTGTTTTCCAGCATCTGCAAACCGATTCTGGAAAAAACGTGATATCACCGTTTGGGGCTTGTAGGCTTTGTAGGGTTTATAGGGTTTGCGGTCAGTGAACTAACTCAACCCGATGGCCTTCATCCCACGCAGCCCTAACGCCCACACCGCCTTCACCAAACTTTCGAACCCGCAACCTAACCCTTGAACCCCAAACATCAAACCTGAGGCAGAAATCTTAAGCCATCGCTCCTACTGAAACCACAAACGCTGTAACCCAAAAATTTAATCATGAAAGGCTATTGGACAGTAAATGAAAATGATCTGCGTCACAACCCTCAACCTTTGCTGGTATGTAACATGACAAGAAGTTCAAAGGCGAACCCAGCGAACCCTGAAGAAATTCTATATAAATCGTAGCCTAGTATGGACCAGAATGCTGTTCTACTTGTCAGGCTAAAAAATTACTGTAAAACTGTTGAGCCCTGAAGGGGTGCAAGAACGGGAATCTCGCTGGCTTCACATGCCACAAGACCCTATTATCTATGTCTTATCATTAAGACCCCGATATGAATCCTTTCAGACCCCAACCGCTTGACGCTAAACTCCAAACCCCAACGTTCAACACCTCAGCCCTAGACTCAAACCTCGAACCCCTAAGCCCTCAACCCAACCCTCATACAGCCCCAAAAAGACTGGAAAGGGCAAGTTGGCAAGGTTTTTTGATATGGTATAGTATAGTACCGTATAGTATCATGAACTTCGTACTTCGTAGCGAAAAATGTAAGACAACAAACTGTTAGGTCATATCATGTCATATCTAATATCATACTAAGCTTCCAGGAACAGCGCCACACCGGCTCTTGGGGTGTCCTCCAGCGCAATGGACTTGCTTAAAGCCTCCTTCCTTAGAAAAAAGAGGAGCCCTACACACGAAGCCCCAAATCCCTAAACCCCCAAACCCAAATCAAACCCCGAAGCCTTAGACCCTAAACTTTGGCTTCTGAGTGCCAGGAAAGATTCGGTGATCCCATGGGGGTTTAGGGCTTCGCGTCGAGGTGCTGCGCAAGGTTTGGGGGTTTTTGTCCGTGTTGTTATTGTAGGGCCTTCATACGGATTTTGCAGTATATTATACGTAAGGGGCTGCAGGAGAACAAGGAACTGAGGGTGCCCTTCTGACGAGCTCCAAGAAGCTAACAGACAAAAGTAAGACGAACTACAGACGGGTAGGGGGACTTTGAGGTTCGGAGGCCAGAGAGGTCCCAGGATTCAGGCTTCGGTCAGGGTTTCAGGGTTGCTGGATAGTGCGATTGTTGGATGAGCCACCTTTGCCTTGTCCCGAAAAATCATCAGAACAGACTCCCAGATAAGTCAAGTTTCATCGGCGACTGCAGCAATGCCTTGAGGACGGGAGAGGCAGCCATGAGTACAATGTCATGACAAGTTACCGCGCCACCAGCTGTCTCAAAGGTAACGTTGTGGGTCTCCGTCATGTCCCGCATCACCTCCAAAGTCGAAACACAACACGATCCGGGAGGCCTAGGTGGGACGATCCACTGACTACACTCATCGCTGCTTGTTTCAACCGCAAGAGTAGGACTCTACCTGGCAATACAGCTTTGGGGTTTGGTTGTGCTTCTACCTGGCCTCCCAACGGTTGATCACACCTTGATCCACAGACACCTGCATGCGCTTGGCATCCATCGCCCGTGCGATTACCGCCAAGATGCTCTCGAAGTATTGGATATGATTCTGAGTGTGATTCTGAGAGGACATGGCGTTCCCTCGCTGCCCATGAGAAGCTGGCGGACTCCGATGCAAAGCTTTTAGCCAGGCCACAGAAAGTGAGATCGCAGAATGGCCGGCATAGGCGACTTCAATCGTCGCACTTGGAGAGTTTGGAGGGCCCACGCTTAGCCTGGTTCGAGTCAAATCGTGATTCAACCTAATAGTGAGGAACGTCTGCTAGCTGATATGCGTGTTCTTATATCCCTTATCTGGTGCGTAGCTTCAGTCACATTCCTCGTCAAGAACCAAGTAGCTTGACCATTGCCGACTTGTTGCTGTTGGGAAAGACGCCAGGAATGCGAAAGGACGGCGCTTGATGATGTGGATCTGCTCCAGCATTCAGCATCCACTCAACAATGCGAAGATGTATTTCATGTCTTCCCCGCGACATGCCCTGCAGGATTGCAAAGTGGAGTGAAGGAAGCGAGCCGTTGCTCCAGTTGAAGTTTGATGGCGTAAACTTCATCAGGCCTGGCAGATCACCAAGTTCAATGAAGCTGAACACGACGTCAACATCGACGCTGCGTCGGTGTCTCGATGGACACAGGCCCATGGCGAAGGCGTAAGAAACAAAGCCTTAGTAATTAGACGAGGTTTTCGGTGGAAGCTATACTATACTTGTAATATACTCGTATCAAGGAGCCCTAGAGGACTCATGTTCGTAACTAAGCCGAATTCAGACTGGAGCCTGTGACACGCAAGAGCAGACTGTCCACAACCTGGATTCTGGCAACCGTGTGGACACTTGCTGCTACAGAAGATCAATTTTGAGCACCGCCTCTCTTCAGCACAGAATCCGGTACCCTAAGACCCCGTATAGAACCCTTGTAGTAACCCTTAAAGGAACCCTCTTTTCCCTACTGGAGAACCAGACTGAACCTCAAAGCTCCTGGAGCTGCGAACAGGAGCCAGCGATCTTAAGAATCAGGAATCGTGCTGGCTTTTGCATCCGTGTAAAGGTGTAGCATGACCTACTCCAAATCCCTGTTCGAATCATTAAACACCAAATACTTAAACTCTTTTCGAGCTGCCAAAAACCCAACACCCAAAACAAGCCGGCCTGGAACTATTAAACCCCAAAACCCTGCAAGCACTCTCAAACCCTCGGCGAAACCAAAGCCTCTAAACCCTTAAGAATGCAAACTGGGAGCCGTAAGCCCAAGAAGGCCTCATAATGCACCGAAAACCCTAAACCCCCCTTCAAACCCTAAACCCTACAAGCCTAAACTCTAAGAAAGAAATGCCGGGTGCAGTCGGGGCCTAGCCGCTCATCCGGCTTAACGATCTGCTCCACCAAAGCGATCTTGAAAGCGGAAAACTCCTCGAGTTGTCTGGTCCAGGCAGGTTCTTCCGCTTAAACCCTAAACAAACCCCTAAACTCTGAAGGGAGCTTTTTCTGAATCACATCGAAGGTTTAGCCTGTTTGCAACATAGTTTTGGCTGTGGGGCTCAGGATTTTGAGGTCTTTAGAATTTCATCCTGCTTACTTAACTGTTCACCTGCTCTGTCTATATAGGGGTGAAAACCTCGGCAAAGAGGTTGAATGTGACCTGTCCGACCACGATTACATACTGTTGCGGCCATAACCAGCTACATGAACATTCGACTTTGGCATTGATACTCCAAAATCGGATCCTATAGGGTTACAACAATCATGACCTCTGAAAATGAAGGTTCTGTACTGTGCCAGTGTTATGACTATGAGGATACTGCTAGTATTAATTTTCTGCACCTTGCATCACTTCCTTGTCCAGTATCCTTGGGGAACTAGCGGTTAAACTTTTTGGGGGGTATACTGGAAATACATAGGGATTACAAATTATAGTGCCCCGAAGAGGTTGCCAACCCAAACGCTAAACCCTAAACCTTCACTAAACCCGAGACTCTGAATGCCACTAATCACTAAACCTGATAGGATTATGTTATGCACCTAAACCCCAGACCCTAAATCCTGAACCTTAATGCAACCCTAAAGCCCCATGCTCTAAACCCATTAGGATTCTGCCTCCCAACTACCCTCTTGTATACCCCGAATACCCACAATTAAGGGCTCCACTAAAGAGCCCTTGGGGGTCCTGGAAAAAGCCTCGATCTCACCCCTACGGTTGATGAAATAGATCCTGCATTACCCATAAGAAGGAATAGACCACAATTCCCTCAGTTTAGGGTCCTTAAGGTAAGGGCCAGGATGTATACCATCAACCCTAAACCCTAAAACCCTGTAGATCCCTTTAAGGAAGCCTTTAAAGGTACACTTTTATAGATCCCTTCAAAGCAACCCTAGGATTTATGTCATATACCATGAGCCGTCAGCTTTTTGGACCGGACCGGAGGGTCCAAGGTCTCCTTGGCCGGGAGCTCTTCCAAAGTTCGCTTGAACTGCACCAGAAACGCCTGGACGGCCTGAGGGCAAAGGGCTCCCGGGGTTTAGGGTCCAGGGAGTAGGAGATAGGATTTGGGCAATTGGGCAACTGGGGTTAGGGCCAGGGTTCGGGAATAGGGTTTATGGCAGTTTTCGGGCTCATGGTTTGAGGACTTCAAGGTTTCAGGGCTCTACCTGCTTCTCGTTTGGTTCGAGGTTGGGAGTTCGTCTTATCTCCAGGGCAGGGCTCTCCCGAGTTCGGAATTTATTGGCCCCGGTGAGGTACACCGGGCTGTTACACCGTTACATTCTACCATCGGACATGTGCTCTTCTAAGGCTTTTGCAGCAGTTGCAGCTGGCACGGCTCTCGCTGGCCTCGCAGCTGGATCTGTGTGTGAGTCTGGTTGTACTGCCATTGAGGTCGTGCCTTGGCATGTGGTCCTTGTTTGGACTCGAAAATGAAGCTAAACGGGTCGGGCTCTTGCATGTTCCAGTCATATAGGGCACTTGCGGCTTCTGCGCTGACCCTCTGCAATGCCATTGAAGGCGTCGGAAGCGGTCTCTGAGACTCTGAGCGAAAACCCGCACCCTGAATCCTAAACTCCACTGCGCTCGCCTAAATCCTGAAGTTCCTCAAGAGCCCTCAGACCCTTAACTCTGCAGCCAAAAACCTTCCGAAAAGGTCGCCAAACCCTCTAGACACTAGACTGCTGAACCCTAAACTAACACCCCAAACCTCAAGTTTTCTTCTCGGAAGCTGACGGGTGTCTTCCATACTTCCCTTCAACCCTGGACCTCTAAACCCCCAAAGCCCTAGATCCCCACTTTCCTGGTTAGGTTGTCCTTCCAAGAGGCACCCAGACCTTCGAAAATCATTCGTTAGTTTAGGAGTACAGCTTAAACACCATATGAGGGTCCTACTATCACTCATTGCATGTGTATTCCTTCCCTAAGGGGTCCTTATGATACTTCCAGGTACACTCCTTAACTAAGGGATATCGAAGGTCCTTAATTAAGGGATTGTATTATATATATATATATAGTTCAAGGTACACTCCTTATTTAAGGGAAATTTGAAAGGTCCGGGCAGTCTGCGGATTGTTTCCCAAGCGCCTCCAACAGCTCCTCAGGTTCCCGGCTGCTGCTTTGCACAGCCAGGGAGAGCCGAGCTGAGAGGCCGTCCTTATGGCTTAAGGAACTTTTTGCTTGTTTAGGGTTTGGGGTCTTCAGAGTTTGGTGTTTGGGGCTCAGGGTTTCGGGATTCTTGTGTTTGGGGTTTGAGAGTGTTGCGGTTAGCAGCTGCTTTGAGACGAAAACTCCCTAAGTCCTTTCTACGCAGTTTTAGTTTTCTTGTTTCGATGCCTCAGGGCACTTCCTTTAGGCTGTTTATAGAGGTTTCGATGCACTTATAGGTGTTTTATAAGCGTTCTAAAGAGGATCTTTAGGGGTTGTTTCAGGGTTCCATACAGGGCCTATAGGTTATTCCAAAGAACAGCAAAGCGCTGTCCTTAAGGATCTCTTGAAACTGGTGGGCCTTGTGGGTCCCACAGTGCCCTACATCCGGCGCGCACGGAGTCCAAGTCCTAGATTTACAGCACGTACATCCTAGTCCAAGACTCCAAAATCCAAGAAGCCCAAACCCCAAAAGCCCTCAACCGCCTCCAAAGCCTAATTCCCCGAATATTCAACAAGACTGCAAACAGGGTTCAAATCGCCCAGCAGCGGAGCTGTAGGGAAAATTGTGACCCCAGCACCACAGTGTGCGACATTTAGCGGCGACAAGCCATTCCTCGATTGCCTGCATCTCCAACCTGGCATCGACGGCTGCGCAAACGCCGTTCTCTGGCAAGAACACGAATTCGGCAAGGCCGAACCCCTCGTGAGCCACCACTCTACGGACCCCCGGTATCGAGTACGGCTCTGTCACATGGGAGAGACCGGACGCTACCGCAAGCAGGACGACTACTACTACGATCAAGCATGGTCAGAGCAGCCTTGGTCGGCCTCGCCGTCCTATCCCTTGTGGCCGGGAGCACGAAAGACCAGAGACAAGAGACCACCGCCGGATCCGGAACAGCATCGCTTCCCCGCATACGATGCAGGTGTCGCACCTATGACCAAGGAGCACATCGCCATCGTGGAGGAGAAGCACTATGCCACGCCCCAGACGAGGCCCACTATGGCGGCGGTGGTACAGAAAGCTGTCAATGCTGCCAGAAAGATCGATACCAAGGTCGAGAAGCTACGCAAAGAGCAGCGGGACAAGGAAGTGTGCTGGGCTCGCTACGAAGCGGAGCTCAAGAAATCCTTCTGCAAGGAGAGAATCCGTTTCGAGAAGGATCAAGAGCGCCTGGCCACGGAGCTGGCCATAGCACTCGAAGAGCAGTCGAGCTCACAGCGGCTCATGCAACAGGCAGCTGCCAATTTGCCCCAGCCCTTGATGGACATGGAGACCGACGAGACGGCCTGGGACCACATGGTGAGGGAGATCCCAGCCCCGGCAGCCACAGATCTGCAACGACTGGAGCAAGAAATGCGAGAGGTGATAGCCCGCCGCGAAGCAGAGGCGAAGGCTGCAACGGTTCGCATCACTACTCCTGTGCGACAGACGACAGCACCCAGGACCCCACCTACGAGAGCTACACCTGCCACCGAGATCAAGACAGAGGCCAGGACTCCAGACCAACACGGGGCGCCTGCAGCTATGGCATCCCATCCGCCGATGCCCACAGCAGACCCAGGACCGACCATGGTCAATACAGTTCCAAGGGACTTCGTGGAACCAGTAGCAACCAGAACTCGGCATGCGAGAAGTGCGCCAGATGGGAGCGGCCTTGGGAGCCGCCAGTCGATCAAGTCGCTACCCAAGGGGGTGGCCCACACACCGTCGCCTTTGCGAATGAGCTTTGCAGACAAGGTCGATGCCAAGCGCGAGGCACTGCGACAGGAAGCCCAGATGCATCCTCCAGTGCAGTCACACCCATCGCTGGACTCGGATCAGTCGGGGGCCCGCCCACATATCATCAGCGACGACGACGACGAAGAGAATCTCGCGGACTCGCAGGAGCATGGAGCTGGGCACTTGGCAGGAATGGAGTAATGTGTCCAAAGGCCCACAGTCGTGGGCAACCAGGATGCTTTGGCTGTATGAGCGCAGCGGATCTCGATGTCCGGTTGTCGGATCCACAGTATATCACATGGGGTGATACACCTGTGGGCCGGCAATGGTGGACCTTGCTTGATCCCATGCGCAGCTGAAGCCGGTTTGAAAGAGCAAACTCTATGTACAGAGACGTCTTTCTGTAGGTGTATAGTCTTCTGCCTCGCTGCGCCTTCTGCATGTACAGGATTGGGATATGTATCTTACATGCGATCAGGCAGACCACGGAGCACGTCCTGCCCCGCCATAAGCTGTAATGTGGAGGCCTTGTCGGCCCGCGCGACAGTATGGCACAATCCTTTCACACACCCTAGCTCGGGTCTAATGCTAGGGTTTAGTCCCAGATGTCCTGTTTCCGTAGGGACTACAAATACGAGGAGGCTTCAAGGCGCCCGATATGGCAGCCAAGCCCGTAGCCCGACCAGGTTGCAAAGCAGGCAGGCTCTCTACAATGACAAGTTCGAGCCAACCAAGCTGCCTGCCAGTAATCGAGACGCGCCGAATTGTCGGCGGCGACTCCTGCCATGCCTATGCTTTTTGGGGTTTTCCTTGGGTCTAGCCTGGATCTTGGGATTTAGGGGTCTGGATACTCGTGCTAAAGCTTTCTGCCGGCTCGCCAGATCCCTGCCCTCATTGTGCAATCGGCTTTTTGCCTGGACCCACAGTGGCTGTGAAAGCCAATATCCGACCCATGTGTCTTCCAGGCTGAGGTATGCCAGTGCAGCAGGCCTGTTCCTGATGATTGAGGTTCTTTGGACAGTCCGCCATTGGCAATTCTCTCAGAGTTTCTGTGTTCAGCAGGCCACGGCTCTCCTAGCCAGCTTCCACATGTTCTGTTTGGTGAGCCTGATGGTTTTTCTGTATATCGGAGCGACCTCGAGGCACCGTGCAGGCCAGAGGCACCCACGGGACACACAGATTCGTTTCATGTTACGGTCCCTGACAATTTTGGGTTGTGTTGGTCAATCCAAACAAGGACCCTTGCAATGGGAGACCTTAGGGAGTCCCCTTCGTCACCCACGACCACCAAAAGGCAGCCTAGGACTGTGCCATCGCCTGTGCCTGGCATGCATGTTGTTCCTTGCGCTGCCACAGCCTATTGGGGCAATGGAGCTCCCGCAGCCCATCGTCGCCGAGCCTTCACCCGAGGCAGCCGACCGCCTTTTGCCACAGCCAGACGCGCCACCACAGTTTGTGTCAGCTAGGGAGGTGGCACAAGTCCAGCAGGAGGCAGCTTCCCTGTCTTGGCCTCCGAGGTATAGCGCTACGGGTCATAACCTAGTCCCCATCCCCATCCCAGATGTGCACCGTCACCAATTTGTGCCCGGCCAGAATGATGATAGTGACGATGAGGATGATGACTGGCTAGGGGTCATCATACATGCTCCCCACCGACAGGCAACTTGTTGGTCCTTCCGAATGGATCGCCCAGGGGATTTGGACTTGTTGCTGACCAGGGTTCTTGATTTAGGCCCAGCTCTATATGACGGTCTATATGACTCTGTAGTTCCAACGTTTCCTCAAAGGCACGCGGGCTATGCCATGGTCTTGGTCTTCCACAGTGCACTGGCGCATCTCGGTGAGGCAGGCAACGTGCCGATCATCCTAGACCTTAGTAGGGTGGGTGGGCACTACTTTCCCACGACCCTCCCTAATGGTATCCCCTATGAGGATTTGCAGCGATTCATCCAGCCTCTTTTATGGGTGTATATAGAAGAGGTTCTCGTGTACATAGGTGGCCAAGCTGACCCGTGCACTCCAGGCACAGTGCTACATTTCCAGCCAGGGGAAGTCCTTACGGTCCTCGGCCTAGATATGCACCGCCTCCAGTGCCATCATATTCAGGCTCTCTTCGAACCTGATGCAGCATGGGGGCGCCCACGACATGTACCACAAAATACAACAACACCCAGCTACAGCGTCACCTACCAAGGGGCCCGGTACCTGCTTCGCGAAGGACAATACCCAGGCCACACCGTGGTGGACGCGGTCTGCTCCTTGCTGGACGTGTCTATCCAAGCAGTCACCATGCATGTAGAGCAAGCCATGCAAGATCTAGATGTTCAAGGTACAGCCTGTTCGGCAGTAATCATGGTCGTGGACATGCCACCACAGGCGCCAACGACCCCGCAAGCTCGCCGTCGCCGAGACATCTTTGCGCTATGTGACTTGCGTGTTTTAGGATTCCGGCCTTATCCTCATTACACGCATGCGCAGACTGTTCACATACCAAGCATACTAGCTCTGGCCAGGATCCCGCTACCAGAATATTTCGATGTCCATGTGCAGGGCGGAGATATGCGCTGGCCAGATGTCGTGTGCAACAGTAGTAGACTACTTATTTTTCAGGTGCACTGTCAGGATGATGTCTCGCTTTCCTTGCCAGAGGAGGATGAGCCACCGGACGGGCCAGACGATGATGGAGCAGAGGACGACGAGAGCTCTGGGCGTCACAGCGATCCAGATGAGGAGGACACAACGACTGTGCCAGGTTCCAGTGATCCGGGGTTGCCAGACCTTGAGGACAGTCGAGATCGCAGTCGATCACCTCCAGGTCGACAGCATCATTCAGAGACACTGTCACTTGCAGTACCCTCTCCTCGTCTACAACTAGCTCTACCTGCAGCTGAGCTCCAACAGCCCGAGCCATCCATACAGCTGGCATCTCCTCCTGTACAGGCAGCCACACCAGGGCAGCTAGATGCACCACTAACCGAGGGTTCCGTAGACTGCAAGGTACCTGATCAGCCCCGCCCCGTCCATCTAACCGCAGCGGGTACAGGCTCGGGACATCGAGCCCAACCAGGACCGCCCTTTGGCCCGCGGGAGCCCATTCATGTCGAGCCACCAGTTTACGAGCGAGATCCACCAGATCTCGCTGAGCAAGCGGCGCAAGAAGCACCGCCTATTGATGTTACGGCCTTTGTGTATACGCCGGACTATACACCAGAAGTCCTAACATTAGACCTTCAGTTCCCTGCGGAGCTGATCCCTACCTTGCGCCGTTTTGATGAAGTTCGCC